ATGCTACGTTCACTCCAACGTGAACGCACAGGCAAAAACTAAAACCATCAATCTAATATGTCTAACATCAGTGGCACACAGGACAAAACACAAACTAAACTGTTCAGGGAATCTAGACTATCCAGGTCTAACGCTCTCACCATCTACTTGGGACCTGTAAAGCACATAAAGAAATGGGACGACGCCCGGTCATCGAATATTGCTGGTAACCCATCAATACACGTTCAATAGCATATATAGATAGTCTAATACAAAATCATTTTCAAAACGGAATACAATATATATCAGTTCAAAACTGTAAGATAGAAGTCAGTTGTAAAGACTCTATTTCACTCTCAAAAGAACAGGGAATCACATCCCAAGACAACATCAAGACAAAAATAGCAATAGAACAACTCATGCAACGCGCATATATATATATATATATATATATATATATATATATATATATATATAATGCACCTAAAATTTTAAAATGACGCACCTTAAGTTTCAATAGCTGATGCACCTTAAGCATACAAATCACGCACCTTAAGCTTTAGGTCGACGCACCTTAAGTTTCAACACTGACGCATCTTAAGAAGGAAAACCACGCACCTTAAGAAAGGAAAATCATGCACCTAAAGCTTTAGATCGACGCACTTAAGTTTTCAACAACTGACGCACTTTAATCACATAGCACAAAAACAATTCACTTTAAGCACAAAAACCACGCACCTTAAGAAGAAAAATCATGCACCTTAAATTTGACATAGATGCAAACAATTACCAAATTGTCACTGTATTTTTTTTTTTTTTTAATTTTGTTAATTCTGGACGTTGATTTATGCAAGATCAATGGCTCAGATTTAACCGCACAACTGCACGGGAAGTAAACTCTCTCTCTCTCTCTCTCTCTATATATATATATATATATATATATATATATATATATATATATATATATATATATATATATATATATATATATATATAAGATTGATATCAGGTGCGAAAGACTCCCCAGGTAAAAAATGTGCATTTCAAGGCCAAAATTCTGCACTGAAGGCACAAACATAAGCAATCGACACAATTTATGGTACTAAAAGGGAAGGTATTCAACTGAAGTATTATTGAAACAATTACCCATACAAATCGTATGTAAATCTCACAAATTCCATTAGAAATTTAGTTATAGATGATTGAAAAGAAGACAAAACATATAATAAACACTTGTCCATAATTGTGCACTTGAAGACACAAAATTATGCACTTGAAGGCATAAAAATCTGCACTTGAAAAGCAAAATTTTGCACTCAAAACCATAAATATGTTTAATAGAAGCAATTTATGGTAGCAAAAAGGAAACTTATTCAACTTAAGTGTTATTGAAGCAATTTCTCATACAAATTGTTTGTAAATCACACAAATTTCATAAAAAATTTAGTTATAGATTATTGAAAATAATGCAGAACATATTATAAATATTCGGGAGCTCCACGCGTCAAGGAAGTTTTATCACCGCCTTCCTTATGCGTGGTAACATTGATAACTGCCAGAGAAGAGCTTCCAAGACCCTTAGAGTTCTGATTTCCTCCCAAAACCGACCCAAACACAAAAGTGTTATTTCCCGTCTTGTGACATGTCGTCAACTGCCCCCGCCCCCCCACCCCCTAGAGTGGAGTTCGTCGGTGGCCGTCCTTGAGTGGATGAACTGCCAACAGACACTCGCCCTTGCATGGATGAACTGCCAGCCGACGCACGTCCTTGCATGGAAGAACTGCTAGCAGATACTTGTCCTTGATTAGGGGATTGTTTGGTGCCTTTGTTCTTCTTCCCTTTCTATTGGAAACTTTTTCCGCCATTGCTATTGCTATTGCTATCCGCCCTCGCTTCTCCTTCTACGAACACAGGGGTTTCATGGAGTTCCCCCACATCCTGCAAGATGAAGAAGAAGTTACCTACTGGTAAACTAGGCGGCACAGTACTTACCTTTTTCCCCAGGTTAGCTGTTTGGTTATCCGTAGGCAGATCACTTTCAACCGCTACCCCCTTGTTTTTCATATTGACCTCCTTTGCATTAGAAGCCTTTGTCTTCGTATTTTGATCCATGCTACTATTTTTCACCTGGGGTTTGGCATTCTTCTTAGTGATAATCACCCAAGAACCATATTTAATGTGGACCTTCTCTGCTGGCGCTTCTCCCTCCTTACCCGTGTCATCCATCAGGTCTTCTGATTCATGTAAGGATTGGGATATATCTTCAGCCGCCTTCCCTTCGGACATTTTGCAGACACATGTCCTACTCACTGTTTCAAAAATTGGACTAGGTGCCCGCCTAGGCACTAGGCGTCCCTAGACCGTGGCAATTTTCTCCCTAGGAGCCCGCCTAGGCGTTCGCCTAGCGCCTAACTCGGCCGACTTGTCCGCCTAGCGTCTAACTTAGCCGAGTTAACTCGTCCATTTCGGTCGAGTTAACCCGATCAGCTCGGCCTGTGTGTGTGTGTGTGTGTGTGCGTGTCTGTGTGTGTATACATATATATGGAGTTACACTCCCGTGCGAATGGATGTCCCAGGAGCGAGATAGGAATGACTGATGTCCGTCCACGTGTCCGGATCTAATGGATGAGAAACACTGATTTTTTTAAAAAATGTGGTGGCATTTTTGTAAATAATTGAACATCGAAGTGCAAGTAAAATGTATTACAAGTGCATGTAAAATATATTATAGGTGCAAGTAAAATTTACACTGAGCATCAATACTAAGTGAACCTATAGTTATAAGTAGTTACACCGAATTGCATGAAGGTTTGCAGGTGGTTTTCAGGGGTATTACTACCCGCTCAACTAGATCAATGAATGTTAATAAGACAAAATTACATGCACTTGCAGGCGAAAGTAGGTGCACTTGTAGGTGAAAGTAGGTGCACCGGATCAATGAATGCAGGCAAAATCTACATGCACATGCAGGCCAAAGTAGGTGCACTTGTCGGTGAAAGTAGATGCACCGATCAATGAATGCTGACACGTGGCGCGCGCTGATTGGTTCACATTTCTCTCCTGGGCACTTATTCTCACCTGAACGCGACCATAAATAAATAAATAAATAAATAAATAAATAAATATATATATATATATATATATATATATATATATATATATATATATATATATATATATATATATATATATATATATATATATATATATATATATATATATATATATATATATATATATATATATATATATATATATATATATATATATATATATATGGCGCGAAATAGGAATGAATTCTATCCGTCCACATGTCCAGATCTAATGGATGAGAAACACTGATTTTTTAAAAAAACGCGGTGGTATTTTCGTAAATAATTGAACATCGAAGTGCAAGTAAAATGTATTACAAGTGCATGTAAAATGTATTAACGGTGCAAGTAAAAATTTACACTGAGCATCAATACTTAGTTGCACCTATAGTTCTAAGTAGTTGCACATATAGGTATAAGTAGTTGCACAGATAGGTATAAGTAGTTGCACCTAGGTGTATGACTGTTTGCGAGTGGTTTTCAGGGGTATTACTACCCGCTGAACTCAGATCAATGAATGTTAACAAGGCAAAATTACATGCACTTATAGGTGGAAGTAGGTGCACCTATAGTTATAAGTAGGTGCACCTATAGTTATAAGTAGTTACATCTATAGTTATAAATAGTTGCACATATAGTTATAAGCACACCCGGTGCATGAATGTTTGCGGAAAGTGAATGCTAACAAGGCAAAATTACATGCACTTATAGGTGAAAGTAGGTGCACCTATAGTTATAAGTAGTTGCACTCATAGTTATAAATAGTTGCACATATAGCACACCCAGGTGCATGAATGTTTGCGGAAAGTGAATGTTAACAAGGCAAAATTACATGCACTTGTAAGTGATTTTACTTGCACTTCGATGTTCAATTATTTACGAAAATGCCACCGCGTTTTTTTTAAGTTATTAGATCTGGACACGTGTCGCGCGCTGATTCGTTCGCATTTCCCTCCTGAGCACTTATTCGCACTTGAGTGCATATATATATATATATATATATATATATATATATATATATATATATATATATATATATATATATATATATATATATGCGAGTTCAGGTGCGCGGTGCCTTACGGTGCGGCGGTGCGGCATCACCAATAGTTCAACAAATATACACCATCAACGTAGGAAAGTACAGCACAAAAAATAGAGACAAATTTGGTACGCATCACCAAAAACACACCATGAGGTGTGAGTAAAAACACCATTGTGTTCGAAGATACACCATTGGGGGTGGTGAGTTATATGGTGTATTTTTTTGGGTCTGTTGTGTATTTTTTGATGTTTTATTGCATTTCATTGTGGCGTGTTTTCTTTACACTGTTGGTGCATATTGTTAACACTGTTAGTGTATTCTGAAATTCCGCCGCACCGCCGCACGAGAAGACCCCGCCGCATTTGAATTTTTTCTTATATATATATATATATATATATATATATATATATATATATATATATATATATATATATATATATATATAATATGACATATATACACTTGTAGACTAGTTTGATACTTTAAATTTTTGGATGATTGAAGTATTTGTGTATTTTTAATTTTTAATATTGTTTTGATGTTATAACTGATGAATTATCATTATTTCATTTATTTGGATGTGTTATTTGATTGAATGTTGAAAACATCCTCATTAAAATTGTAAAACTGCAAGTCTGCCCCTATTTTTTTGGCGCCCGCCTAGGCCACTTAGGCGCTACCCGGGCGCCCGACTAGCGGCTAGCGCCTACTGCAACCATGGTCCTACTTCCCACAATCAAAGCAGATAACATGGAGCCCTTCAAACTCAATGCGCTGAATTCTGTTACTAATCCAGACTATGGAGACAAGCGGTGTAACACCCCTGATTTTTACCACATTTTTAAAACTTAAACACATAGGAAAAACATCTAATCATCAAGACATAAAGGAAACGGAAGTTATATAAAATCGGGACAAGTTATGCCACACCTATCTCAAACATAGGTGCACGGGCGGGGAAACTAATCAATTCAAACAAATCATAAAGTGTCAAGGCACACAGGCCGCTAACTAGGCTCACAGGCCAACAAAACATAACGTCTACACAGGACAACTAATCTATCTAGCGATCCACGTCTAGCGCTCTCAGACAACTACTCAGAACCTGTAGAACAAGGGAATAAACATGGGGATAACACCCAGTCAGCGAATATTGCTGGTAACCCGTCAATACGCGTTAAATAACATATATAGATAAGTATAAACAAAACCATTTTGAAACGGAATACAATATATATCATTTCAAAACCATAGAGAGAAGTCAACTTCAAAGACTCATCAAACACTCTCAAAGAAATGGGAATTACCATCCTCCCAACAACGACAAGACAACAACATGAAAGACAAACAACGAGGATGCATTCTACTGATCACAAAGTAGAATACATCAAGACCTGCTCATAAGCAAGGAATTCACATTCACACATTGGCAACTACATGCCACAGTGACAACTACATGTCACAAGTATCATAGTTCCAACCTTATGCCCTGTTCCAACCTTATGGCTACCCCCGGCCTTATTGCAGTTCCAACCTTTACCTCCTAGTGCCACCCTGTACTTCTAAGTCCAACCTTGTACCGCCAAGGACCGTCGTCCACCCTCCAACAACCTCCAAAATCCCGCCGAACTCTCAGTACACGAGGGTACCATTGATTTCATTCACATAGCCTCCAACATGTGAGCCAAGCTCAGATAACACACCACCAATTTCAATCATAGTCACACAAGATCATCATCATTACCAAGAAGATTAAGGCTCAACAATAACCTCAATCAAGTATCAATCAAAGGGTACAACGATTTACATACGTTCATATCATAGGAATCAATCAAGGGAAGACAACAAAGTCATGAGACCATACTCAACAACAAGGGATTCCAATCCAACAACAACTGATTGTCAACACAAGTTGCAATCCCAGTAGGAAGGAACAAACCGCACATACTAGCATTTCAACATCAAACTAGCATGCTTAACAAACGGGTAAACCAAAAGTAGTTCCAAAGAACACTCAAGACTCACAATAGCCCAACGAATCACAAAGTCGGACCCTTAGCATGATTCAAGACACCAAATCCTACATGGATTCCTAACATACCGTTCTAGACATAAGAAACATCAAGAGGACTCACAAATAGCCCAATAAAACAACATTGGGAGGTTAAAACATCAATACCGAGTCAAAAAAATCACGGGAACAAATCCCCGTCCAACCACCACTGTGTACCCCGCGGGTGGGGCCACGGGTGGACAACCACCCGCGGTTCCGCCCGCGGGTACCGACCCACGAGGAACACGTTCCCCGCGGGTGGGGCGGCAGGTAGGGCCCTGCTCGCCGTTACGCCCGCGGGTACCACCTGTACACCAAAAATATCCCTTCGGGGATTTCAACAACAAACTAGCATGCTTAACAAACGGGTAAACCAAAAGTAGTTCCAAAGAACATTCAAGACTCACAATAGCCCAACGAATCACAAAGTCGGACCCTTAGCACGATTCAAGACACCAAATCCTACATGGATTCCTAACATACCGTTCTAGACATACGAAACATCAAGAGGACTCACAAATAGCCCAATAAAACAACATTGGGAGGTTAAAACATCAATACCGAGCCAAAAGAATCACGGGAACAAATCCCCGTCCAACCACCACTGTGTACCCCGCGGGTGGGGCCACGGGTGGACAACCACCCGCGGTTCCGCCCGCGGGTACCGACCCACGAGGAACACGTTCCCGCGGGTGGGGCGGCAGGTAGGGCCCTGCCCGCCGTTACGCCCGCGGGTACCACCTGTACACCAAAAATATCCCTTCAGAGATTTCAACAACAAGGCCAAATTCAAGTCCAAAACACCCAAAATCTCACACACAACAACAATATGACTTGAACCCAAAAAATATCCAAGCAATGGCATACAAGAACCCTAAGAACAAGCTCTAAACATCCATCACCACAAGACAATGCATTAAATCTCACATATCAACACAAGAATCACATGTAGAAGCCAAGAATCATCATATAAGTAAAAAAATAGGTTTTGTAAAGCATGGGTACTCATAAAGCCGTGCTACCGGGAACCTGTGAATTAAACCGGTTCTCCACTAATTAACAAGCTATTAAAACATTAAATAGCTATTAAAGGAAATTAAACTCAAGCCTATCTTAGGATTCACTACAACCTTACCATCTAAGCTAGGGTTTTCTTTGTTAAATTAATCCTAATTATTAAACCTAAGCTCAAGCTAATGACCAAGCTCAAAAGATAGAATTGGTAATTAAAACTTAAGCTACCTAACCATTCCCAACCACACATTGCCTAACCAAAAATACGATTCGGGCGGATTATTCCCCCAACTAGGGAATAAAAGGAAGAGATCTTGGCGGAATTTCCACATATGAAATTGAGTACAATTTTGCAACGAGATAGCCCCCTTGTTTCTTGAGAAGAGATGGGAAACATGCTCATGTTGTTTGAAGAAAATCCCCGCTTCAATTGGTCTTTTTTCACGAAAAGCAGACATAAGATAAGAAATCCAGTCTTTCGCTAATCTTTCCAATAAAATACCCTACCTAACCATTAAGAGGGAATTGAACCCTACCTAACCATTAATCACCACCAAAGCCATACCATTTAAACTAAACCACTATTTGTTAATTTAAGCAACAACAAACTATTTACACTAAGCAAACAACTAAGACAACAAAGCAACTCACCATCTTCTTCGTTCTTCACTGCCATGGAAGCCGCGGGTGGAACCACGGTAACCACCACCACCCGCCGGCACCACGCCTGCCAAGCCTAGCTTCGACGTTGCACCCTCAACGACGCCGGAGGACATCCACTATGCCGGAGGAAGAGACCACTGCCGGGAACTTGCCTGCTCCGCCGCCATCGAACCGAGATCGAAACTTAAGCGAGAGAAAGCTACTACCTTGCTTCACGATCCACCACAGGATGTTGGCGTTGCTGCTACGTCGGAACAAAGGAAGGAGAGCCATTGCTCGCTGTTGCCGGTGTTGTTATACTCCATAAACACTCTTCAACGTCGCCGCCGTGAACCAGTTTCATCGGATTGTTGTTGGAAGACCAATCCACCACCACCGATCTTTCTCTGCCTCGCGTCGTTGCCGGAACACCACCTACGACGCTGGAGAACCCCTTGTCATCGCTTGTCGTTGTCTGGTCGAGAAGAAGCAGAAGAACGAATGGAGGGTGGAGGGTTTGGTTTCTCAGCTTGAAGAACAAAATACCATATATACGTATACACCTATTTTATTTATCTAACTAGGGTAGGGTTTCTATTATTAGGTTGGGCTTAGGCTAGACTTGGGTTGGGTTAGATAATAAGTTATGGTTGGGTCAAGACTACATTAGGAGGATGGGCTAGAAACTTTGGGCTCACAAAATAACACACACATAAATACACACACACACACACACACACACACACACACACATATATATATATATATATATATATATATATATATATATATATATATATATATGTATAGAGTCTAAGTATATATAAAACACTTGGGCTCAAAGAATAATTACTAGGTTTCTAGGAATTAAAAATCATTTTGGGCTCGGAGTGTTTGGGTACAAAATACGAGTTCACGATATTAAATAGACCCGAACCCATTTTAAATTAAATAGCTATATAAATATTTTTAATAAAAATATTTAATATCGAGACTATAAATTATTTTAGGAAAATACGGTGTGTCACAAGCGGTTTCAACAGATCGATCTCTACTGCTGCCCTCGCAAATTTGCCCCTCTCGACTCCCGTAGTGGTTTTATCTAACTTGATTGGTTTACCCACAAATTCCAAAATTTTCTTTATTGCATCTTCCCGGAAGTACTCAACTGGTAGTTCCGGGATGCGAACCCACACCGCCATTTTCTCGATTTTAGCGGTGTGTGGATCAAAATCCGGCCGCCACCGTTTAGGGATGACATAACAGTCAAAAAGCTCGCATGGGCCACCCAAAATGACGTGTTTATACTCCGCGGCCAGGGTGCAACGCACCACATAGCATCCTATGCTAATATCTAGCATCTCGACTTTTCCGTTGATGTTCCACAAGCGGAGAAGCCGCTGTTGAAGAAGGGATAAAGTTGGTGGTTTACCCAGATACTTTATGATTAAAGCCCGTCTTCAAGGTTTCACCAAATCCTCCATGTCTATTTTGGGAACTTGACAACCAGGATCCCCTCCCTTACCTCTTCAGCCTCCGAGTCTGATTGCACGACCAATCTTCGTCCCACCAGTCGGCATCCGTCTCATCCGACATGATTTCATCTTTCAGCAACGACGGGGCTGCTGTGGTATCAACAAAGGAGCGCTTGAGTATTTTGATCCTCTTCCTTGTGTGTGGTGCCCTTCTCGCTTCTCCCTCCACCATCGGAGAAGCTAACGACGGCAGCTCTCCAGCCGCGTCGTCCATGGATGGTGGATCTACTGGTAACTTACCAAAAAAGAAGGAAACCACTGAGAGAAAGATTTTAGAGAGAAGATTTTTGCTTGATAGAAATAATTAAATGTATTAGATTAATGGACACTTATATAGAATTGAAATTGAACGTAATGCTTTTAGTTTGATATGAGCCAAATCTAAATTGAGAACACACTATTCAATTTTTTGTTTTTTTTTTTTTTTTTTGTTTTTGCTTTTTCTTGGCTGTTTTTTTTTTTTTTTTGGGTGGGGGGGGGGGGGGGGTGGGGGAGGGGAGGGGGAGGAGTTATAATGGAAACTTCTATAGTTACTATTCAAAAATGTGCATTAGGGTACACTCTACTTATGTGTAATAGCGGGCAAAATGATAAATCATACATGAGAGGTAAATCATATAAATAAGGCCTAGTGTGATGAACTCGGTAGAGAAGATGTTGGTAAGAATCAAACTCGTCAAGGGCGGATCCAACAAATTGTGTGAGTGGGGGAGTAGTTGAAATGACATTAGAAAAATCAATGACAAAATATCAAAAACACCCACAATACGATTTAAATACAAAATATATTATAAATTATAATACAATGTTTATGAGTTATGACAAATTACAGAATCATTAGGGGCGGAGCCAAAACTATACTTGGATAGGGTTAAATTTTACAACACTTTGAAATTCTATAAAAATATATGAAACATAACATAAAACAGTTTGAATAGAAAAGATATGTCCAAAATAGATAAGTTCGATGGCCTGAATGGACTAGTCCAAAATTTAGTGGGCTAGCCTAATAGTCCGAGCCATTTAATGTTATTCTTTGTTATGGAAGTGATTTGAAACATAATATATATGGAGTTTATAGGGAATTTCCTCTTTAATTTTTTTAATTAAATTTTTAAATAAAATTTTAATAAATATATTGCAAATTTACAAAATAAAATATTTTTTTATGAAAATAAATAATAAAAAATTAAAAACTTACTATAAATATTATATTATAATGTAAGTATATTAATTATTTTTAGGTAGAATTAGAAATGGAGGTTTAGATTGATTGAATGATGTATAAATTTGTATTTGATTATTTATTAGTGTAAATAATGTGCTATTTTATTAAACTTGAAAATTTAGAATGTTAATTTAAAAATGTCAAAAGCTTTAGTTGAATCTACCTGATAAGCTCAACAGCCCGAGATTTGTAGGTTAGGGCCAAGAATTGTTTTAATGTTTTAAAAGATAATTTTGTTCATGGTTTAATACAGATCGTCATAGAAACATAATTTGGGCAATTTATATTGTGGACAGGATTCACAGTGCACTGTGGACCCTGATCCAATACATAGAATTTGATTTTATAATGTACATAATTCATGTCCGTAATACACATACATATAACACGATATAATGACCATGAATTTTGTGCATTATGAACATGAATTTTGTGTATTATGTTAAGTGTTTGTGTCCTCGGCTATATAATGCACAGAATTCATGTTCATAATGCACAGAATTCATGTTCATTATATCGTGTTTATGTGTACATGTATTATTAACATGAATTATGTGCAATATGAACATGAATTTTGTGTATTGGACCAGGGTTCATAGTGCATTGTGGATCCTTGTCCATGATATAACAATTGAGCAAATTATTCTGTGGACTATGGTCCACACAGTGAATACAAAGTACATTATTTTTGTACTGAATGTATATTATTTAATAGTATATATAAAATAATGTAGTTTTAGTACAAACACTACTGAAAATTATGGAATTTTTGACCACCTGAAAGTGATCTTAAATCAAGTCGTAAGCAAAAAGTGGTCGGAAATAGCAATAAAGATTTTTCTGGATACAAAAAGTGGTCTGAACAAGGCTTTTGACTTGATTTAAGATCACTTTCAGGTGGTTGGAAATTTCATCCAGCAGTGAAAAATAATGTATTTTATACACACAAATAATGTACTTTATACATAAACTAGTAGGTGCACCCGCGCGATGCGCGGCTATATATATAGTATGATATATATACAATATAGAATATAGTTATTTGAACCTGTAAAAATGTGAAATGAAAAGTTGTGATTTTATTACACATTGATGAATATAGTAGTTTTATTATACATTAAGGGACACTACCTATATAGTACATAGAATATTACGTATAATATAATAAGAATAAGAAACATAATAAGAAACATATTATTTTGCACAAATACTAAATTTTAAATAATAAATTGTTGAATGTTATTATACATTATTGAAGACTTCTTTGTACACAACATTTTTAGTCGTACTAAGACATGGTACACTTTCCCCGCAAATCAAAATTTTCAAACCCCTGGGGTTACTAACTCTTGAAACAGCTACGTATAGTTGTCCATGGTTAAAGACCGGGTTTTTCAACAACAACCCAACTTTAGCAAGCGTTTGTCCTTGACTTTTGTTGATTGTCATGGCATAGGATAGCATCAAAGGAAATTGCTTTCGTTGAAATTTGAAAGGCAATCTTGGATCTGACGGTGTAAGTGACATCCTAGGAATCAATACTCTGGTTCCTGCATTTGTACCGCACATGATTTTGCCTTCCAACACATGGTCAGCCAACCTTGTAACAATCAACCTTGTACCGTTGCATAATCCTAATGTGTGATCAATATTTCGCAATAGCATAACAGGTGATCCAACTTTCAATGTCAATGCATGATTTGGTACTCCAGAACATCTCAAGGCATTCAAGAATTCGGGAGTGTGCAAATCCGCTAACATGTCAACATTGGCATCTGACTTACACACAGTATCACAACTCAAGTATGTCTTACCCTCAGAAGGATTATGACCATTCATGTATTGGTTAACGGCACCTACCACATCCAATGCTGGAGCTAAAATTGCACTATGACTAAGATATGACAAATCGGCAATTCCCAGTCGGAAATTGGGGAAAGTGCTATCAACAATTGTAGCAATAGGGTCATCTTCGCACTTCAACAACAAATCTTCTGGAACAGTAATCTCTGACTCCCCCTCAAGTTGGCACCCAATAATTCCATCACCTATATTAGCTATCCATTTTGCAAATTCCTCGATCTCCTTACACTCGGTTTCTGATTGAACACTCTTCAAACGTAGATTCTTAGTCAGCCTTAGGACTTTACAGGATTTCCATAGATAGGATGAACTAATGCTCGCTCTAACTATATCCGGTCTAGTACCCTTTGGAATGACTGGTAAAATTTGCCTGAAATCGCCCCCCAAAACAACTGTCTTACCACCGAATGTCATATTAGAACTCATTGGATTTATGAAGCGCATCAAATCCCGCATAGTTCGATCCAG